ATTTCTTCAGTGGCTCTTCCTGCTAATATTTGTTATGCTGCGCATTCACTAAGGTTTCCTTGTTTCTTCTAGTTACATACTCCCTCTTTCTTTTCCTCCTGTCTCCAGGGAATAACACTGGTGAACAAATGGATCTGCTAGAATAATCAGTCTCACATGCAAATCCACACATTTTTCTTTCTTGAGGAAAATGCTCCCTGTATTTTTCTCTCCTGGGTAGCAGTAACTTAATGGAAGGACAAACAGAGTGATTGTGTGTGTGTGTGTGTTGTGTACACACACACACCTGCACACACACATGCACATATACTAGGGGTTGGCTGTTTCAGATACTGTGCTTCATGCAATATTTGGCATTTTTAATTTGAATTACTTAATAAAAATTGAGAAAAGCATAAATTAAGAATAATAACGGTCTTTTTAAGGACCACACAAACTGTTCTCCTTACCCTTACACATCTACCAGTGGCCCCCAAATAGCACACTAAGGAAAACTGTATCAGTTAGAGGGATCCTTTCCTTTAGGCACTAACCTACGTGCCACTTTCCTGGGAGACTTCCCATGCTTCTCTTCCTTTACATTGTAGGATGGATACATACATGATGGGTTCCCGTTACACACTGTTCTGACCATCACTGCACTTTATTATGAACATGCTTCATTACTGCTTTCCCACCAGACATAAGGTCTATGAGGACAAACATCACATTAGTTTTGCCTACTATTGTATTCTCAGAAGTCTGGAAAACACTACAAATGGCACAGTTGATAAATGAATGGAGAAAGGATAGAAAAGAAGGAGGAAGAAATTAACTTTTCAAATACCAAGGAAGCCAACTGTAGCTTATTTAACATTCAAAGTGCAATCATATGGACAATACTTTTGGAAATACTTTCCTCCTGACTGGGATTTCACCAACTCCTTCCTGTGCTTATTGAATTGCTGAAAATAATATAAAAAGTGTTATTTCCTCCTCTGATTCCTCTAGGAGATGAAGACACAAATCATAGAGTCCAAATGACTTAAGCCAAAGTGGTTCTTCTTGGTTCTTATGTCATTGTTTTGGAGTCAGCCCAGCTCTCCGCACTATACCATCTGCGTTGTGTCCTGAATGTCTCTCCCTTTTCCCATTTGACTTGTCTCTGCATCCTGAGATTCTCAGCCCTTTCCTTTGACTCATCTCCCAATATACAGATGATTATCCTTGTTCTAATGGGAAGGAGTGTGTAGCTCATCCAAAGGTGTAGGTTGTCCAGACATTTCACTGGTTTCCAAAAGTATCAGAGATTTTCATCTAACCTGATAGTTCAACGACTGCAGAGAAAACAGAATTCTTCTCTAAATGGCAGTCCAAATTTGGAAACCACAGCTGCTTTTAGCAATTGAGTCATTGCCTTTCAGGTGCCAAAAATATCACCTATTATATTCTCCAGGGTTCAAAGTAAGAGGAAAGAGAAAAGTCAAAGGACAAATGGAAAATAAAGGTAGCATAAAGCATTTCTAGGCATGAAATTATTAAAGTAATTAATAACTAACAATATTTACAGCAATAATGACTAGTACTCAGTATGAATTAATACAACATCTGCTTGTGACCTTCCTTATTCCCTTAAAGAGGAGGGAATGTAGAATTCTTTGCATCTTCATTTTATAGGTAAAGAAACAAAATCATAGATATCTGGGCTCTTGGCCCCAACTAAGGTGAAAGCTGACAGCTGTTGTCACTGCCACCATCTGAGTAAAAATGCTTTTTGATAATACCATGTGACAATTCTGATGCACCCCATCCATCAATTCTTCTAGCTAACAGTTTCAGAGACCATAAGCAGGCAAACTATTCCTGCTATGCCCTGTGTGAATTTAAGTTTGTGTTTCATCACATAATAAATGATGTTTTTCCTTGAAGCTTTGGATTGATTGGTTACACAGCCATAGAAAACCAGAATGGCGGAAATGACTGGAGAGGACCTGTGGGTATGTTAGGTGTGTAACAGCCAAAGCGATGCCTGATCTTCCTGCTAAATCTAGCCCTCCCTTCCAGGAGCCTTTTACTTATAGGTCATTTCTCCTTAGGGTTCCCCTATTCCTTCCTGAAGTGGGAGGCCACTTGAAGTGCATTAGGCACATTTTTAAAGGCTTGAATCTCAATTTATATCCCCTTTCCTTAAATTTTTGGGACCCCACATAAACCAGGAAGTAAGCTTTTCTCCTCGTTTAGTTTTGGAATGTTCTGTAATGGTTAAGGACTATGCAGTGGTAGAGGATGATGTGGAGAGAGAACATGTCTTTGTTTTAACTTAGACTCACCTGTTTCACCTAATTGATAACACAAAGTTAAAACCTTTTCTCTTAGTACAATATTACTACCAGTAGCAATTCTTTAACTGGGTTTAAAGCTAGAAGAACTCAAAATAAAGGGACTTGACTATTTTGTACACTGTTGTAGTATAAACACTCAGAAGGCTGTCTAATGCATAAATATCCACATATTTATAGGATGAGAGAATTAACTTACAAGTAAACAAATAAAAAATTCCTTCTAAGGAGTGAAACTTAAGTGAGCATAGTGAGTTAAGAAAACTGTAGCATTCCATAGGTTGAGTTTTATTCATTTTTGAGGCAGGGTCTCATTAGCCAAGGCTGGCTTCCAACTCATGACCCTGTTGCCTTAGCCTCCCAGGGGCTAGGTTATAGGCACACACCACCACAATCAGCAATAGGTTGGTATTCTGTTGCATCAGGCAACATGTTTGAATCTATTCAAATATTAAAGCTTAAAGCTGAATTCCTTGAGGCCACATCTTATTCTATTTTGTATCTCCAGAATCTGGCACTTGGTCTGGTGCTAGTGATACTTTCTACTAACTGTTGTCAAACAGACTGGCAGAAATATTTCAGATCATTTAGTTCTTTTTGCCTTTTTGATAGAAGGCAGTGGTAGAAAAAGGTCCTGGCCAATGTACCTGGTCCCATGGTGATTACATTGGGATGCAGAGATCCAGAAGTCTTGAGAATTCTTAGGCTCTAACACTGCCCAAGAAAAAGTGAACACAAAGGCTGATGTTATTTGAATATGACATTAGAATGAAAGTATAAGACTTCAGCTTTAGTTCTCGATGGTGCTTTTCTCTGATAGCTTCAAACAGAAGTTTCCTTCAGAGGTAGTTTTAAACATGAATCATTCATTCATTTGTCTACATACCCATTAATCTCACATTTACAGAAGGACTACTTGTTGAGAGGTGTTTTATTTTCTCAGAAAGATAGCTGAGCACACACAGAGTCCAGATTTCTAGAAAAGAACTTGACTGGACAGCACAAGATGTTATATTTCAATGAGGCCCAGTGGAAATTGTAGATACAAGATCCTTGTAATTTAGAATGAACAAATCTTATAAATCTCAAAATATGATCCTGTAACCTATAACCCATGGAAGCAACTATGCAGATGACTCTTGGAGGCAGATCTACTCTGGCCACAGGAATCCAGAGCATCAGGAATGAGACTAGAGACATTACTAATGAGTTCTTTGGTCATTTTGATTGATCCGTTAACTAAAGGGGTCTTGTTGGAAAGATATAATGCAGTTGATTAATATGATTTACTTGCCTCTCCCTTCTTACAAAAGTCAGCTCTTACATGGATATGGATCAGAATCATTTGCTTTCAAAACCAGAACTTCAATGAATGTGAGCAATGATTATCTCCTTAAACTAGCCCCAAGTAAATCCCCATGAGAAGAAAACAAGCAAATTTTCTATTTCTTTATTAAACCACTTAGAAGTATTTTTTTACTAAAACAAAGACGCCTTTAATTCCAGTACTCAGGGAGGCAGAGGCAGAGGCAGAGGCAGGTGGACTCTGTGATTTCTAGGCCAGCCTGGTCTACAAAGTAAGGCTAGGACAGCTAAGGCTGTTACACAGAGAAACCATGTCTCAAAAAACCAAAACCAATAAAATAAAATAAAATAAAATAAAATAAAATAAAATAAAATAAAA